GAGCACAACCGTTAATTCGAGAACGGAGATCGCATCGGGGATGAAAAATTAAAAATAATTCAGCAAGCAACGCGGCCGTTATCTGACCCCGATTCTGGCGCACGCAATTTTCCGTATTGTCGGGACACGCGATGATTCGATAAACACACCATGTCCCGACCGGCTCGAACGCGATCGAAAACCTTTCGATTCGACGCGTAAAATTGTACGGTTAAAAACGTTACATGATTTACATGCGATTGCTCGTCGAATATTGCTCGTTTGTATCGCGGAACCGTCGGCGTCGCGCGACGCGACGATACAATTAAACGCGGGATAACCCAACTTTGTAAATGAACGCGAATTACACGCAACCCTCGCGTTTACGCGTGTAATTGGTCCGAAAGTTGGTTACATCTTTCGTGGCTGTAATTCTGCTTACGCTGGCGGTTCGAACTGGGAAACCGAACAACTTTATTACGCGATTAAGGAGTATCAAGGATTAAGGATTTTTCAGTTGTACAAGTAAACGTGTTTTTCTTGAAACATTATTTTCAAAGTCGGTGGCCACTCCAGTCTCGCCAATTTTTGATCGATCGACTTGAATCTCTGTTTATGTAATAAACATATTGTATAAAATCTTGTTATTGCTTCAATCAAAAATTCTTGAAAAAGCCGGAAAATTGTTATGGCTAAGTTCGTAATAAAACGCTTCCAATTTGTCCATCCCACTCCTCTGTTTCTGTCCGTCTGTACGTAGGCTTATCGCTTCGGGAAGAGCGTGTTAGATAATTTCTACCGGAACGCTCGTTGAACGGGACGAACGACTTTATCAGAGGCAACCAGACGGTTTCTTCATTTGCATCAGAATCGGCCAACCTATAAATATACGCGATTTTGTAGATCGCAACGCGTCCGATTAGGCGGTAACACGCGGCTAAATTTCGTGCCGTAAATTTCGAACAGGCGCAAACTACTTACTTGTACCCGGCAAACGCGCTCAACGAGTGGCCTGGAACAAGATTCGGACGAGAACCACCTATCCGAATACGTCGGAACGTCGATTATCCGAACCGATAAAGGGAGAAAATGATCTCTCCGGTAATCAATTTTTCGTATAATCTGCTTCGAGAGTCTCGAAACTTGAACGCGCAATTTTCAAAAGGTTCTCCAAACATTACTTTTTGTTCGCGATCGCTCTTTCAACGTTCCTATCTTTCTTTTTTTTTTCTTCGACTCGTTTTATTTCCAAACTTTCGTAACTTTCATTCTATTTTTACGAAATTCTTCCAAGCCCGTTACTGCGTCGCTGCAAAGATTCTCAACTTTTATTTGCTCTTTCGCCAACTCTTCCGACTCCTATTCTTTATCTTTGTTTTCAATTCCTACAATTTGTACACATTTCGTAAAACCAGCGTTCCTCGAGGAAAGCTACGAATATCGTGTTTGCATCCAACGATCGTTACCCTTCTTTTCAAACATCCCACGCACGGATGCGCCTAACGACGACGCTCGTAATTGGCAACGAACACGCCGCGCCGTAGGCAGCTTGTCGTACTTGTAAATAAATCGTGGACAAGACTCGCTAAAAATCTTTCCATTCAACGAATATTACGCGATCGATCGTACTTGGTTATTCTTAGCCAATGAATAACAGATTAACGTCAGTTCTAATTATCAACGACTCGCTCGATCCATCTCTCTTCTCGCAACATGAAATTTTCAACGCGATCCGACGAATAATTGTGGGCCCAGAATATCCGCCAGCTTTCCTCTTATCGGTCGTCGAAGAACCATCGAAAGCCGATATACAATTGACTTTCTGTAAATGACACGATCGAATTAACGAGTAGACGCCGATTCTAATTAGATGTTATATACATAGAAACGTAATCAACTATCGGAACATATCTAGACAACCGAGCGGCGCTCAGCGGGTAATTATGACAGACCGTTGGGTGTAAGACGCACTCTGGTTGTCGGATCACCTGTCGAATTTCAAGTTACGTAGCAGTCGATAAATAAAAGTTTCACGTGCTCTCTACGATGGAAAATCTCAACAGCTCGCGGAATCGACGTGCCGAGTCTAATTATCATCCACTCGCGGCAAGTTTCGAAAGCAGACTCGGATAAGAGAATAGTGGAAAGCCTGTCGAAATAGCCGCAGCGATAACACGGCCAACGACCATCACCGATTCCCTCGATCCTTTGGGCTTTCGTCTGCTCGTAGCCAGTCCTAGCTCCTCAAAAATATTCGAATCGAAAACTAAATGGTTCGAAATTTTGTTGTTTGCTGGCCGAGTGTCAGCCAGAGTGTTTGAATATTCCCCGTTAGCACCGGAGAGATGACACTGTCAGTTGCCGCCACTAGGTTTCACGCAGCAAATCTCGAAATGTCAATAAAATGACAGTCGATGAAACGAAGGTGAGCTGATTCTGAAATGTGAAATTACTACGTGTTTGTAGTCGATCCAACCTTAGTATTCGTGGCAATAAAAAAGCTTCTCTAGTTGCTGGTATATACCATAAAAAGCTTCCATTCGCGCGACATCCGTCATGGCCGCAAACGATCGCCGCTCTCTCAATCATTCTTTTCCACCGCGGCAGTCCACTTTGCGTACCATCGAAACTCGATAAAGGGAAAGTTCATCGAGCCGAGTGGAAAGTTCGTTACCGGACGATAACCATATTCGAAATTTCGAATCAATCCTAAGCGCCACGAGCGGCACGAGCATACCGTGAACCGAACAAACGATACGGTTGCCGTCCGCTAACGAGAGGATTTTCAACGACCGCGGGAAACAGTTAGCGACGTTTCTCGGAATTAACCGCGTTAATCGTCGCCGTGGACGTCGAGAAGAGAGGATTACCCGCCAAAATTTCCATAGTTTCCGCGACTCCTCGCAGCTGTAGCTTCGTGTCCGACTTACGCGAAAGCTGCCAGGAATCTCGCCGATGGAACAACCGTGTACCGTGTACCGAACAATTTCGATTAATTCGAGGCTCACCGAATACTTGATACACGTGACATTTTAGTAAGAGAATGGCGGAACTTTGCCGAGTTTCAACCGTGAACGTTTGGAGTGAAACCGAATGTCTCTGTAACATTTTTTAAACGGCCAAACAGACGGCCAAAAACTCTCGACTCTACGACGTTGCAAGGTATGCTCGATGCGTGTGCGTATAATGTATAATCCGTCCAAGTTTGTTGGCCGTTTGTCAATTATCGAATCTCTGTATTTTTGTAAAGCATGTTTTACAATTTTTTTCACCGTGCGCGAATCTCTTTTCGGACAAATTAAACATCGCGTAGTCGACCACAGAGCAAATCTCGTTTCGTTTTTCTCGCAGAACCATTCAAACGTAATCCTATAAACTTCCTGGCGGCCCACTCTCGGAAACCAGTGCACGGAAATAACGAAATAACTCCGGAACTCGATCGATTTCACCTTTCGACGCCCGACGTCATCTATCCTCGTTTCGTATTCAGCTTTTGTTCCGCAGTCGGAGTTATTCGTGGACCTTTATCGTTCGGTATTTTACGACGCACTCGATGCGTGAACGTCCGCCGATGAAAAAAAACTTCATCTCTAACGCGCGTTAAAAAGGTATTTCTTGTAAAATCTAAAAGCCAACGAACAAGTTTTTCTTCGTTGCGAGTAATCGATAGGAAACAATAAAACAAAATCGCCAAGACGCTCGAGAAAACATAGAGACGCGATTTTTCTCACGGTTGGAAAAATGTTGCGTTCGAGGGGAAAAACACGCGCAAAACCACCGCGCGACACTTGGTTGAATCTGTAACTCGCGAAATTCGTGGGGCCGCGAGCGCGCGATGCCGACGCCGACGCGCGGCGTTAACGAGCATCGTCGATGGGGACGCGAAGCATTCATCGAGGAATTCCAGTCGATTCGTTTCGAGTGGTCAAAGGGTTCGTTTACGGATTCTGTCCATTCCTCTAAATATCGCAAATTTTTCACACCCTGTGGATCGTGTCTATTCGAGCTCGAAATATCGAACCAACCGACTCGTCGCGCGTCGCGTATCGCGCATCGCGTCGATTCCGTTTTCTAGCTACACGCGATCCTTTTGCCAGCTTCGACGCTGGCCCGGCGCTTTTGTTTCGCGGGCCAGAGTTGCCTCGACGCCAAGTATAACGCCCTTTGTTCTCCGCGGCAATAACCGATTTTCTTCTTTTTCCGTGGAGCTCGTCGGGCCTGTCATCGGAATATCCATGATTTGCGAGATAGGCCAGAAAACGCCGGGCTTTTTCCAGTTTCCACTTAATAATCGACGACTGCCAACCTTCCTTTTACGCTTTTCGGCCGCGTCGCGCCACGCCACGCCGTCCGAATATACATATTTCTGGCTCAACGTGAAATTCGATAAATCCACGAAACGAGACCCCATTGTATTTAAGGGATTGTTTCGATGCGCTGTTGCAGTTACAACCGATCTCAAGGATTGTTTGGTTCGTTACCCGTTGCTCGTCGAGCAACATTACCGGGAAACATTTGCTTTCTGGCCCGACAAACCAGTGCTTCCCAACCTTTTCCGATAGCAGAATTGCCACTATTATCGCCAAGAAATTTTCCATAGCCTGCGCACTCTGTTTTATACGAATATCATACGCAGCAAAGTTAACAAAGGACGAGTCGGAGTTACTCGTCGACTAGTCGAAAAGCATTCCCTCGAGCATTTAAATTCAACGACTACCGTTTGCATCCGTTGTAAAAAAATGATCGAATAACGCATTTCTATCCGAAACAATACCGTGCACAGCTGTAGAAAATACTGGCGAAACGTTACGTCTCCTGACCGCGACCACTGACGCGGCTAACACACACGCGATGCATCGAAAGCTACGGAGAGAGAGAGAGAGAGAGAGAGAGAGAGAGAGAGAGGGCTCGTGCGGTCGGGTCGAAATCAATTGGCCGCTCAAGAGCACCGAGGTGTTATTTCCACCGCAACGTTTAACTATCTCGCCGTCGAGTGAAAAATAAAAGCTTCCGAAACACACCTCCGCCTTTCAACCAAGACTAGTCCAAGTACCACGAAAACGCTCCACTCTGGAACAAAAAATTATTGTAAAATTAATTTCTCCATTTTCATCAAATTCCTGTTTCATGAGAGTTCATAAAAATAAGAGGTCAAACAGCGTACGATGGGATCGAGAAGCGTCAACAAACTGACAAATTACTAGAAACTCGAAAAGACCTAGCAGAATTTCCGGAAATTACTTTGGCCGCTGTGTGCCCGGCTGATAGGAATTAGTTTAACGCAGCTTATCAGCGTAGACGGTTCCTTTCTTGCGCGTTTAATACGATAATGCAAATTTGCCGCGCATGGGAAGCTTTTGCCAGAATCGACTAGTTTGCCCGAACGTGGTTTTAAGTCTGCCGAGACGATTCCTCGTACATTATTCTTCGATACAGGAATTAACGATTGGTCTAACTTTGACGAATGTAATAGACGCTGTAATTTTCAGTATCGCGCGAGTTTGCATTCGTGATATTTCTGCGTAACGATGATTTGTTCAAATTCGCGCGAGAGAGCGTCTGCTCCAATATTTATTCTTCTCTTACGCGTATTTCGGAGGATCAGAATGCTTATACAAGCTGAGACAAGGGGACCACCTACGTTTGCTTTTCCCTAACGCTGAATTTTGTAATTCAAATATTTCAAGTTACAAATCAGATTCATCATCTTCCACGGGGAACGGAAATGGGATTGGACGGAAGAACAAACTTGGCTAATCCAACATTTTATTCAAACACTGTTCGATAAAATTTCTCTCGGTAAGCTGTTGGCCGCTCTAGTAAAAAATTCTGTAAAAACAACCCAATTTCTTTCGGTCGATCATCTTTTTTCAACGCGCGAATTTTTATTATTCTTTTACTACCTTAGACATCAAGTTCACCTTTGACGACTACGAATTGATTTCGATTCGAGACGAGCTCAACAAAACTGACTTTTGGCTAGACCGACCGAATACCCCATCGCGCAGCGGTGGATGTCATCGAAGATAACGTGACAAACGCTTCGCGTTCGTTACGAAGTCTAATTGGAATGTTCCGCCGTCGAGCGTGATTCGCGTTTCACCGCTCAGTCTCATTAATTCGAGGCAGAGACGCGACGATTACAACGGGTTCCATTCGAAGCGGATCGACAGGCTCGATCTCGACGCTCGCCGATCATTTGTCCGCCTAGGAATCACCTTCTTCCGAAGAGTTTCCCAGCGGTGCGGTGGTTCGGGAAATACGCGCAGGACTCCGAGTAAAAGTGCATCGGGCGGCTGCGGTGGCGGGCGCAAAAGTTGCGGTTGAAAAACGCGGGGTTCCCGCGCTCTCTCATTGCATATTCAACGCGATGGCACGTAGGTACACGTGTGTACCTGACGCTGCAAATGTAGAAAAAGGCCAAGTCCCAGGCTGATGTACGAGCTTGAAAATAGGGATGCCGGAAGGGGTCGCAACGGTCCGCGTCGCGTCGCGTCGCGTCGGGCCGCACACGCACAACTGTGATTAAATGCTTATGCGTGAAACGAATCTGCCCGCGATCTATTCCTTTTTTTACCGTGGCTCAATGTTCGTTACCATTATCGTTATTATCTTTCGCTGCAACTGTCGACTTTGACGAGATGCCGATGGTTTATGCAATTTTCATTCGAAGGCACCGCGAATCGAATGGAAATGAAATTGTGCTCGGTTGACCAGAGACTTTGTTTTCTTTGTTCTTTGTCGCGACGTAATTGAAGTAGTCGGGACGGTCGATGGTGTCGCATTTTCGAAGATTGGTTATACAATTTCTTCTCATTCCATCGAGGAGTATTTTTCCAACGAATTCTGTCACGCATTATGAAAATTTGTCAGCGTAAACTTTTGACGCCATATTATTCGCGCTTCGACCGAACCGACGCCGACGCCGACGCCGACGCCAACGCCCCGTGCCGTGTGTTTTCAAACTAAAATTCAGTTAATAAACGATACTTTGAATTTTCTATTATCACTGAAAGCGATGCAAAATACCGAAACGCGTTTGAAACGTGAAATGTTTCGTCGGCACTCGGTCTCGCGCAACGCGGGCATTCTTCTTTTATATTGTTCGATAAATACGCGCGGCAGCGTGTGCACGAGCTGTAAACGGAAAAAAACAGCGAGGCGAGGCGAGGGTTGAGACCGCCCCTGATGTACGAGCTGAAAAAAGTCGACGCGGATCGAGAGGGATTTGTCGACGACGCTACATATGCAAAAGCGGGGTTAAATGTCCGCGCGTGGAAGGGATGTCGACAAATTAAAGCGATTTATTTTATTTTGCTGGAACTCGACATTAATCTTGCCGCGTACAGGCTGGAACAAGTTGGAGACGCGGTAAGCAGATTTTGCGGGAAGCTTTTTGTCTGGGCCGGGCATTATCTTAAAACCATGAGAAATTTATATTTTACATCGACTTTGGATCGCTGGTGCAGGAAATCCGTACAAAAATCATTTGTGTCGTCCAAGTTTGGTTGCGACGCACCAATTTAAAATTTAAATCGCGTCGAATATGCTGATCGAGCTTTATACAGTTAAACAAACTTTGGCGTAACGTGCCGCGGGCTAAAAATTAACGTTGCATTCAAATTAAATTTCTATGCGTCAAAGTGACGGAGAACTGGTTCACCGTCGCTTTGCGGTGGCATATTTTGTCCCAACGGAAATCGTGGTACGGGACAACGCGGAATATTTCCGTAAATGATCGCGGTAGAAAATTTGTACGACGTTTTCGTATGCGCGGATACTTTACAAGAGCTACAAAAGCTACATAGACTGGTAGCGTCGAGTCGTATCCTATCAATCGACGAGTGGAAATCTCTGCTCGGTATATGTATTCTAAAGCTGCGGAAAATTTTGTTTAATCAACTCGGTGACAGACTCCACCGCGACGGGGTAAATATTTGACATGGGAAAGCGAGAAGCGTTTCTCCCGCAAAGTATAATTTGAATGAAAATAAAGTCATAAAAAAAAAGGAGAAAAATAATGGAGAAGAGAAAATGCGAGCTTTACGAGACGAGTGAAAACGCGATTAATCGTCGACGCGGTACGGTTTGCCAGCGGTAAAAAAGGAATATGGTAAAAAAGGAGGAACAAGACGGAAATTGTGAAAACAAACCGAAAGAGGTAAAATGAAGCGATTCACGGGCGTGCGTCGTTCTTACTTTCTTCGTCGTTGTTTATTTTTCGCTCGAGACTTTTTATTTCCGCTTGGGGCAAGCAACGCGCTCATGCATCCGTTCTGCTACCGACGGAAAATCCGAATCGATTTAATCGATTCAAAGATGTGTGCGTTTTTATTATTCGTGACGCGTTCGAAGAAGGTTCGTTAGTTGCAGGAATGGGAAAAAAACAGCTTGCACTTGAACAAATATGTTTGCGCCGATACAAATGCTTGAGGAGATTGGCGAAAAATGTAGACTCGCTTTGGAAGTAGGCAAACTGCGAAAAAAGAAAAAATGGAGCGTTAGGTGCGGCAGGGGTTATAACGAGTCCTCGACCACGAGTAGGGAATATTTTGTGCTTGGAGCGGTGACTGTTTTCCTACTTCCTCCTCATCTTACCACCTTACGTAGGAAAAACACGGGACACGTGCACGATCGGTGCGAAAATAGTAGCAGGAAAGTGTACACGAGTCGCGGTGTAAACAATCGCGTTCGGGTCAAGGTAAACAAAGCAAGTTTCCCGAGGGTTTTCATTCCCCCGAACGAGACAACCGTCAAAGTCGAAAACGGCCGAGTTCCAAGTAATCCAAGGAAGCGTGCGGCACCAAAGGAAACTCGACCCTTTCTCGACTGCCCCTTTCCGTGCGCTCTGAAAAAGACCGGCAAACTACCCCCCAAGGCTGCCATTTCTTACACGCGTTGTTTCGCTAATTGTGACTGCACCGTTGTTCCTCTTTGTTTCCGCCATATTTCCCGAGAAAATTAAAATTTTCCTCGAGCCTTCCTTCTTGGCCGTGTCGCGATGGCCCCCTAGCCTCCCACGGTTCTCGGTTCCTTTTCTTGCCTTTGTCTTGCCGAGACGCGCGGAATTGGGAGCATTTTCTTCGCTACGATGAACGCGACGCGCACGGTCTTCTCCGTTCTGGAAATTAAAGTGGCTCGGCCTGCGGATGCGGATGGGAGAGCATCGCCGTCGGGTTTGCGCACGTTTTCCACGAAATGCGCGACGGAAGAGTCTCGGCGTGGTAAAGACTCGCGACGCTCGAGGAAATATGCATGAGACGGCGCCAAGCATCCCTTTTTTTTTTAACGCGTGTATGCGACAAGAAAATTGTTCGAATTTGACGGATAACTCTCGAGCGCGGTGGTAACTGCCTTTCAGCCAATTTTAATTGAAAACTTATGACGCGATCCGAGAGTATTTGGTCGAAAGGCGTTTTAACGTTAACGTTTACCACTTTGATGAACGGTTTCCGGGCAGCTCAGTTTCCCGATCTCGCGAGCCAATTCCATTAAATATCGAATTCTGAGCGGTAGCCTACCTCCGCTGTTTCCATTCGGCTTAAACTAATCCTCCCTTTCCAGACGCGCTCGTCAAGGTTTCGAATACAGTTCGCGAGGTTCGGATACTCGAATATCCCTGGTGGCCATCGGTGGTTCACGGTGCTGAAATCGCCAGAGAAAACTGGTCCTGGGAACGCTGGAAACGCTGGGAACGCCTGGAATTCCTCGTTGGCCCCGGCCACTTTATGACCAACGCAACCCCTCGATCGACGAAATTTTCGCGACCCGAAACGACCCACTGGGAACGAAAGAACAGAGGACCAACAACGGGGTTTCATCGGCGCCAAACGATTTCCGGAGCTATTGAAACGCGATCGACTTCTCTGCTCGCGGTGGAATCGAGAACGAAACGACGCCGAAGCGATGAATTACAACGCGCGAAACAGAGCCGTGAAAAGCTTCTTTTGGGGAGCATGCTTCGAGGTAATTCGAATTTATGGGCCGATTTTGCGCGGAATTCCGTGTACCGAGTTATTCTTCATCGTGATACCGAGTACGTTTAAACGACTGCGAGGAAAATTCGTGAT